GTTGTTCTGTTATAGGGTATGAGAGCATCGTCAGTGTTGTTACCATTGTTCTGCTATAGGGTCTGAGAGCATCGTCAGTGTTGTTACCATTGTTCTACAACTGGTATAGAGTCTGAGCGTATCGTCAGTGTTGTCACCATTGTTCTACAACTGGTATAGGGTCTGAGAGAAAATTACCAGTGTTGTTACCATTGTTCTACAACTGGTATAGAGTCTGAGAGTATCGTCAGTGTTGTTATCATTATTCTACAACTTGTATAGTGTCTGAGAGAATTGTCAGTGTTGTTACCATTGTTCTACAATTGTTATAGGGTCTGAGAGATTCGTCAGTGTTGTTACCATTGTTCTACAATTGTTATAGGTTCTGAGAGCATATTCAGTGTTGTTACTATTGTTCTACACCTGTTATAGGGTCTGAGAGCATCGTCAGTGTTGTTACCATTGTTCTGTTATAGGGTCTGAGAGCATTGTCAGTGTTGTTACCACTGTTCTGTTATAGGGTCTGAGAGAATCGTCAGTGTTGTTATTACTGTTCTGTTATAGGGTCTGAGAGCATCGTCAGTGTTGTTGCCATTGTTCTACAATTGTTATAGGGTCTGAGAGAATCGTCAGTGTTGTTACCAGTGTTCTACAACTGGTATAGAGTCTGAGAGCATCGTCAGTGTTGTTATCACTGTTCTGTTATAGGGTCTGAGAGCATCGTCAGTGTTGTTACCATTGTTCTACACCTGTTATAGGGTCTGAGAGCATCGTCAGTGNTAGGGTCTGAGAGCATCGTCAGTGTTGTTGCCATTGTTCTACAATTGTTATAGGGTCTGAGAGAATCGTCAGTGTTGTTACCAGTGTTCTACAACTGGTATAGAGTCTGAGAGCATCGTCAGTGTTGTTATCACTGTTCTGTTATAGGGTCTGAGAGCATCGTCAGTGTTGTTACCATTGTTCTACACCTGTTATAGGGTCTGAGAGCATCGTCAGTGTTGTTACCATTGTTCTACACCTGTTATAGGGTCTGAGAGTATCGTCAGTGTTGTTATCAT